CGTGGTGCTTGTCACCGAGGATCGCCTTTTTGCCTTCGAGCACTTTGACTTGGAGAGCTTCGGCTTCGGAGTGGCGGGATTGGTATTGGTAGGTGAGGGCCACATCACTCATGGCCGTGATCACATCTCGATGCAACACACCCCTTTCCCCATACTTTTCCTTTTGAATCTCGAGGACTTCGAGTTTGACCCTCTCCGCCTTGGTATAATTGGTTTGCTGGTGATAGGTAAAGGCGAGATTACTCATCGCCTTGAGCGTATCTGGATGCCTATCGCCAATCGTATCCTTTCTCCCCTTCAACACCTGCAACTGCAGCTTTTCCGCCTCGGCAAAGCGACTCTGCCACTGGTACGTCACCGCCAAGTCCTCTTTCGCCTTGAGCGCGTCCTTGCTCGTATTCTCCTCGCCAAGCAATTTAACAACCGGCGCCTGAATCTTTTCAGCAGCCGCATACATGGCCAGCGCGTGGTACGTCAATCCTAGATTGCCAATAGCCGACAGTGTTCCCGTGGCCACCTCGCCCAACGTCCTCTTGCGGATCTCGACGACGCGACACTGCATACGTTCGGCTTCGTGGTACCTCCCTTGTGAAAAGAGGGTCAACCCGAGGTTGTGCATCGCTTCGACTGTATCGTCGTGTTCGGCACCCAACCGCTTTTCGAGACCGGTGAGGATTTGACGTTCGAGGTTTTCGGAAAAGAGGTATTGTCCTTGGTACGCGTATATCCACGCCAAGTAACCCATGCACTTGAGTGTGTCTGGGTGGTCTTTGCCTTTGGTCCGCTTCATCACTTCAAGCACTTGTTCCCGCAACACTCGGGCTTCGTCGTATCGTCCTTGGCGGACGTATGTGCCTGATAAGCTACCCTTGGCTTCTAGAGTCTTGTCGTTGTCGTTTCCCAGTAGTGATTGGCGGATTTCTACACCGAGGAGGGTGAGGTCTTCCATCTTGGGTAGATCATGTTCATAAGAGCCAGATAAGCCGAGTGCCCAGTCTGCTACGGCAGTGGAGAAGGGACCCGACGTTCTCATCGCTCGACTGAGAGAAGCGTCGTCTGGAGTGGAGAAGAGTGTGTCAGGTGAGGGGGTGTGGCGAGGGAGGGAGGGGGACGTACTGTAACTTAGGATGCGTTCACGCAGTCGTTCGGTGGGGTCCATAGGGGTAGCTGGTCCGTCCATGTTGATCTATACGTATATCCAACGGTAGAAATGATAAGAGAAATGTGAGCGTGTAACGGGGATGACTAATGTCCGGACGGCTACTCGTGAGCTCCTGAGCAAGGAGGAGATATGAAACTCGACCGGAACAAAACTGCTCTCTTTAATCTACCCTGATTCTGTCTGGTAGACACTGTCTCCTTCTCTGTTGCTTTTGCTGGCTGGCTGAATCCTCCCAGCGATCGACCGTCTAGTCTCGTGTGTGGCCCAACCTTTCCAATATTCCTGTCAGTCAAGATGCATAGCATCTTGAATTGGAACAATAACTCACGTGAAGAGTGGGAGCAGCGTCTGTGAATGAGGTGGGTGGTGGCTCGGAAGAAGAGACTTTTGGTTGGTACGCCTCTTGCCGTGGATTCAAAGAGCCTGGACAACTACGTTTGTACAGGTACCCGTATCGGAGGTAACGAGCGTCCACTTGCTTGATCGAACCAGATAACCAGCTGAAAGGTTGTATATATACCTGGGTGTGGCGGCGCAATGGTCTTGTCACCAAGTTCACAGCAAGCGGCTACTCACAATAATCAAATTCGCAAGGAACAACTGTCTGTATTACAAACTTTTGGGTTCTTTTCAGACAGTCACTCCGGAACTCATCAGCTTAGGATTATAAACGGTATCCCCTCCAAGAGTCCAAAGGCAAAGTGGGGCTGTGTCGGTTCGGAACCGGCGCCCGCCTCACAAACTCAAAGGTAATTCGACCAATTGTTTTCCTGACGCTATTAAAAGAGCGTCTTTAATCTCTCAAAGAGCCCTTTGATCGGGAACTATTGACATCTCTCAAACACCGAGTTTTACGTATTGGAGAGTGACTCTTGTGATGGGCGGACGGACCAAGGGAGTCGACTCGGTCAAGGCTAATTTAGACATCCAGCACGACGATCAACATCAGCTGGGATTATTCGGATTATTTCATAATGTGGAGAGACGCGCGGGTTTCACTTCTCGAAGGGTTGACCACGAAAAGGAGGAACCCTTCAGGTGCCTACTATTGATCAGGGACGAGGGCGGAATACAAGGTATACCTGGCAGAGAATTGATCGAGCTGGTTGAGATTTCAGAATCGAGAAAGGTCCTAGACGCCAGCTCGGCTTTACCTTTTATCCACAAGGAGGAGGCGCCTCTCCATAACTCGCGAGTTGGTCAACAACCATAACCCGGAAGAAGCATTCAAGAATGATCCCCTTTCATCTTTGATAGAATGTATGAGATAGGGACCTCCATCGCCCCGGGTTATTTGCTTTGGATCAACTCGTTCCTAAAATGGGAGTTGGTAGCTATCAAAGCGCCGGTCACGTACCTGCCGTACCCCATACTAGGCACTAGTTTAGTTTGTAGAGTAGGCTGGGCCCAACCGGGTTGTCGACAGAGCTGGCCAAAAGCCAGCATGATGTCTCTCACTTTCTGAGAAACACCCAAGGCCGTGTTTCCTTGATCTATTTCCCTCAGGGATGAACAGTCATAATAGAATAATTCATCGGTCTAGGCTTTTACTCTGGATGATGGCCGAATGGATACCCGAAGGTTCCAAGATACCCTTGACCTGTACTGTTATGCCTGCACGTAGTCGTAATAGAGACACACAGAGTAGAAGAGATAGGGTCTGGAGGGTCTGGAGTTGACCCTGCGCAGTAGGGAAATGGGCAGTCTCTCCAGTTGTGAAAATCCTGCGTGTTGCAGGTGAATCAGCCAACCAGGACAAGTCCTCAGCAGCATCTCAAACAACGATGGTTACCTTTCCCTCATCCGAGTATGTCATGTACATATAAGAAGGGTAGGTTGGTTCTTGGCCACCACTGAGAAGATTCCTGTTCGCCAATCCAGAATAGTCAGAGGTGGAGTAGACATGAGAACGAATCACACCAAGAGAGTATTATATTCGTGCTAACCATCGTGATCTACCCTCGCGTATCCAGTGCACCTCATCGTCGTGCGTGCATGGCTATCATGAGGCTCCTGCAAGGCCAATGTGGAGATCGTCTTATAAAAGGATGGGGCTTGGCCAGTCTCCAAATCAAAACTCTAAAAAAGAGTATTGACCGTTATTATTTTTGCTTCTTTCTTGTTATCTGGATAACAGCCGTGGCGTAGTACAAGAATAGAGTTTAGCCAATTCAAAATGACGCACGTACTCGTCCAGCCTCAGCACCAAGCCACCTTTGCGTCTCCTCCACCAAACGGTAGCCTTCCATATCCCAGCTACACGCCCTATCCCAGCAGAACAGCAACTCCATCCATCGCTCAAGCACTCGCACAAACAGCCAGTTCGTCTTCATCCAGTAACAACACTCTTCCCTCTGCCCACTCGTTCGGCACGAGCTCACTGTCTCGTTGGAAATCGTGGAGATCGAGTAATAGCAGTAAGAGCAAGAACAAGTACCATAATAACATTGCGAGTAGTGTCGGTCACACACCCCGACTACCCAGAAGAAGAAGCCAAACTGCACCTTGGAAGACACCAGCCACTCCATCCGCACCACCACCTTATCGGCACGGCGACACCATCATCAACATCAACAGAGATACAGACGGCAGTAATAAGATGGCGTACTATGGATATTACCAGCAACAAGCTCCCAACTGGGCTACGGCGCAGTACGAGCCGATCGCGCCACCCATGACTTATCATCCAACCCCAAACTGTGAGTCCAGCACGTCCTCCGCGTCGTAGACGACGGTCTTGCCATTCTCGACTGCTTCTACCTACCCCACGTTGCACCGCACTCTGTTCAGAGAGACGCCAGTGATCGAGGAACGGTTGACTTCCTCAGTCAGCGCCAGCCCTACCATAGTCCCAGCACCTCCTATCGCTCCTCTATCTCTAATATATTCACCGAGTTAAGCTGACATTAATGCGCGCGCCCGCTAGGGGGAGGATACGATTATTATCAGGCTCACTCTGGGGACACTGACCGGTACGTTTCTCTCCCACCTTTTCCTTTAAACCACTCGTCCATTACCATGGTTCGCTTTCGTCGACGCCGCTCGGCGTCAATCATCCATCG